AATTCTACCACCAATCTCGAACCAAAAGACCACGTTGAAACCTGTAATACCCAAAATAATCAAATGTTATTAACCATATTCTACGAAAATAAAATAATTAACAAATGGGATGTTCTCGATAATTATGGTGTAAGTGTAGATGATGCCTTCGATTTCTTTCAGAAGTCGGAAGATGGTGATCCATTTGCATTATACAATTTAGCAGACTGTTACTTTTACGGAAAAGGAACGAAGGTAAATGTAGATAAAGCGTTCCAACTATATTTAAAATCTGCCGAAAGAGGACATCCTTTGGCACAATTCGTCACAGGAATATGTTATTTAAATGGGAAAGGAACCGATAAAAACGAAAATAACGGTTTCAAATGGCTACACGCTTCTGCTAGAGGAGGAAATCTCAATGCACAATATTTCACTGGACAATGCTATAATCATGGTATAGGAACGAAAAAAAATGAAATAAGAGCATTTGAATGGTATAGGGTTTCTGCGGAAAGAGGTAATAAAGATGCGCAATGGATGTTAGGAAACTGTTACGAAGACGGTACGGGAACTGATGTAAACAAAGAAGAAGCGATGGAGTGGTATTTAAAATCTGCAAATAATGGAAATGCAGATGCGCAATTTAGAGTAGGAAAATTTTTTACATCAAACAATAATGACAAGAAAGCATTGGATGGTATCTTGTTTCTGCAGAGCAAGGAAACCGTGGTGCACAATGTTATTTGGGACATTGCTATCAGTATGGTATAGGAGTAGATATAAATGAAGAGGTATCGTTCGGCTGGTACTTAAAATCCGCTGAAGGAGGATATGCGGAAGCATTTTCTCATATAGGAGATTGCTATTTATGTGGTAAAGGTGTAGATATAGACGTGGTCAAAGCGTGGGAGTGGTACGCAAGGACCGCTCAAGGAGGAATGTTGGGTACAACTTTAATTTAGAGTAGTTTAATTTTCATATATATTATATATATAATAAAAAATCAATCATTAAATTAAAATGATAGTTTATAAAAATGCATACTCATTAAAGATAGTGCCAACGTCTTTGTAATTTTCAGGACAATTTCTAGTACTTGGTAACATCAAGTTCAGGATGACTCGCGAGATCTAGCGCTATAACTAAATTTAACATACTTTTGCTTGTTTAACATAAACAATATAACTTATTATTGGTTTAATTTTTCAAAACTTTATATTGATACATAATAAAATATGACTCGAACTAATAATATTATTACGCGTAAATATTAATCATAAGGAATATGGAAATAAATAAGATAAAGTCTTTATTCTGTTAACGATAATTTTCGGAAATAAGAGAAACTGTAATCCTGGATCAAAAGCAACCTTTGTTCTAAACGTTTGCCATATATGGCGAAATAATTATTCCGCATCGGTACAGGTGCATCTTTGTCAGATGAATTAAAAATTTTTTTTTTTGATGTCAGGTTCTGGAAATTTGTTAACAAAATTGTGTATTTTAATTTTTTGATAAGTTTTAATTTTCAGACACGATTTTCCTGACAATTATCCTGTCATATGTGACAAAGCAATTTCCCTGCACAGATATGTTTTTGTTTTGATTATATAAATTTGTATTCTTGACTTACCTTGACTTACCGAATCTTTCAAAAGCTTAATTTCGCGCTAACTTTAATTATAAATATTTGTCACATTTATTACTGAATACTTATTTTATAATGAACGATATACCTGAATTACATAATTGTGATCATTTGGAATTTGTGTGAACTAATTGGAAGTATTATCATTAAGGAATACGAAACTCTTAGTAATGAAAGAAAAGCATTAACGTATAAAAATTCAAGCGGATCAATGAAAATTATATCTCATTACTTAATAATTACATTGCATAATTACGGTTATGTTATAATATATAAGTTATTATTATCATTATATATTCAGAATAATAAAATCCATAAAAAAAAAAATATATAAATAACAAAACATTCTTCCCTCCCTCAAACAAACTTAGTGTATAATCTTCTGATTTTACAATTCTAAAGTTTTAAAAGCATTACTATTAGAATAAGAATCTTTTTGCAATATAACTATCAAAATCTAAAACTCTATTTTCTAGATGAGTTAGTGACAATCTAAAAATTAAAAATTTATAATATTATTAAATTCTTAACATCAAAAAATAATAAATAATATTACACTAACCTTCAAATTCATTAAAACTGTTATTACAATATTCTTAAATATTCATTTATATTTTAAGAATTATTAAATTTAATAAACTATGATAATTTTGAAAAATACCATAATGTAAACTTTTATAAATATATAATTACTTTACTAAAAAAAAATAATATTTAACTTATAAAATAAAAAAAATTTTTTAATAGTTTTCTTCCTTTTTACTGCAAAATGCTCATTTATTTATATTTATAACTTATTTATTTTATTACATTTAAATTTATGTAATATATATTTAAGTAAGTAGCTAGTAATCAAAATTTTATAATTTTAGGCTTATTGAAATTATCTTATTAAAGAAATTCGAATTTAATAATTAAAATTTATTAAATTTATTAATTGTTTATATAAATTATTAAAAATTTACTATATAAATTTATATATATTTTATAGTAAAAAAAATAAAATTATTAAACTTTAAAACTTGATTTCTCGATAACTACTAATTTAATTTAGCTAAAATTTAAATATATATTATTATATATAAAATTATATATTTGTGTAATATAAATTTATAAAATTGCATATATTATGAAAATATCAAAAAATTTTTTTAATAAAAAATTATTTATTTTTTTTAAAAAATTTATAAGATTTGTTTTATTAAAATTTACATAAAATATAAAAGTAATGATTAGAACTCTAAATTAGTTCAAATTAATCTATTTACCTATCCTAACAAAATTCAAATTAACTAATTAAATTATATTATTGATAAGAGATGAATTTATTTAATTATTTTTTCTAATTTATTTTAATTTTCAGATAATCACTAGAGCCTCAGGAAGTTTTTTCTTTATTTAAGTTAGTAATTTATAATATTTATGATTTTTGTATTTTTTTGATTATATATATTTTTTTTTTTTGATAAATGTATTTATTTTATTTTTAATTTTTTTTTAATTATATATTTTTTGATTTTTTATTTTTATTTTTTTATTTTTTTTTAATTTTCTTTTTCTTTTCCTTTCTAAATCTTTGATTTTTTACTTTTTATTTTTTATTTTTTTTCATCCTTTTCAATTAATTTTTTTAATTTATTTTAATTTATTTTTATTTTTTTATTTTCTCAATTTTTTTCTAATCATTTTTTTTTTATTTTTTTTTTATTTTTTAAAAGAATTTAAAAAATTGTATTATATAATTAGTTTTAAAAATTCATTAATTTGCATATTACAATCAACGCTTAATATAATAAAGTAAGTATTCAGGCCAATCAGGCCTTTATTATAAGAAAATTCGTTAATATGATATTATATAATTTTATGTAATATTAAATAAAAATACGATTTTGTAATTATCTTGGCATCTAGTAATTAGAATTTTATGAATTTAATATCATTAGAATCGTCCTATTGAGAGAATTTGAATGGTATATATTTCATATCTATAATCTGTTTCATATTAAAAATTCATTATATCAAATAATTTGCTATATCAAAATTCATTATATCAAGTGTTAACTATAAATGCATCTTTTTATTTAATTTTAACTTAAGCCTTAGTGCTAAATTCACGTTTTTTATATATTATATATTTTACTCTCTATAAATATACTCTTTATAAAAAAATTTTATATAGTTTACTTATAAATTTTATGTATTACCTTTATTTTAGATTAATATTATATAGATTTATATATATTCTACAAATGCATATTGTTAACGTGTAATTCTTATGAATTACGACTGTTAAATGGGGTGTTTAAATGGTTTATTCTTTTTAATTGAGCAGTAATCTTTCAACGGTTAACGAGTTTTTATTTTCAGACTGATTATCAAAGTGTTTATATTATTACGATGAGCAGTAATTTAACAATTACTAATGATTTATAATTGTAAAATAATGTGTTTATTCACGAGTAAAATAATAAAAATAAAAGAAAAGAAAAGTAATACTAAAACTAGAATGTAATGCAATAGGCCAGTTACCTCTAAAATTATAATGTAATGTGGTAGGCCTGGTTACCTCTAAACTGTAATGTAACGTGATAGGCTTGATTACCTCTAAACTGTAATGTAACGTAGTAGACCTGGTTGCCTCTAAACTGTGATGTAACATGATAGATCTGGTTGCTTTTATTATACTATCTTCTGGATTAGTTACCTATGTCGATAGGCCTTCAAGATTGGTTACCTACGTCGGCTAACAATACCTCACTCACTGCTAAAACTACTTAAGTTATCTTCTCCTTCTTTCTACATGAACTAACAAGTTACCTATTTATATAAAATAAATTACATAGAGAGATATAACTAACATATCTACTATATCAACTATGTCTAATATGTTAACTATGTCTAATATGTCAATTATATCTAATATATCAATTATGTTACATATGTCTGACATATTATATATATCATTTATATTAAATTAGTTGATCTTCTGCGCTATATAAGCTGCGTCATATTTACCCGTTTACAATATCCTTTTTAAATACATCTTTATATCTAATCTCAAGGAAAGTGCATTTATAAAAAGTTAACTGTATTTATATTGTAATAGAACTATTGTAACATAATTGATCTATATAGTACATTATAAATAGTTATATAAATAATATAATTAACATAATTGATTTGGTAGATATATTAAATTTATGATACAGAAAAGTGCAAATCAATATGTCAAACATGTCAAACATGTCTAATATATCTAAAATATCTGATATATTAAATACCATATTCCTCTGAAAATAAGTAACCCTGAAAATAGTATTATATTCGAAAATAAGCAACATGATGCTTTAAATTAATATAACTTTATAATTATTATTTTAAAAATAATTGAAAATATATTTATAATAGATTCTTAAATTTTATTTTATAATATTAACACAATTGCTAGCACTATTATTGTCATTATTAATATCACTCACATCATCATCATCACAATTACCATCATCATCACTATCACCATCATTGTTATTTGTATCAATATCGTCTTTATTAATAATCTTTAAATCAGAATCTGATTCATTTAAGTCAATCGATAGTTCACATGTTAAAGGATCTTATGATGATTTCATCAGAAATTCTTTTCCAGAAATTTTTAACTCATAAATACACATCATTAAATTTAGCATGATAAAGGTTTTTCGCAGCTGTTTCTTCTACACTACCACGAGCAACCCAAGCATGCCATTCTATATAGAGGTGATTTTTAAATAGTTTGTTTATCGTAATGTTAAGTGATTAGCAAATATTACTGCGAGATCAAAGCTACACTCATAAAATTTTTCTTTAACTGATTCTTCTAAATGACCTCTAAATGAATCGTATATAAGCATTAAGTGTTTTGCAGCCTTAATTTGTTTGTGTTCTTTCGTATAGGTAACTACCTGTATTTTTTGTTCAATAGAATATGAAATGTGCTTAACAATCCTTTTTCTTATAGGTTGTGGCATTTTTTTTTACAAGCATATAAATGAATTAGAATGAAGTATTTAATGCAGTTCTGTTCATATTTTTACGTGAAAATAGCTGATCAAACGTAAAAATATCGATCAAACGTGATAAACAGGTGACCAACGGTCACAGGATCAAATTTGGAATTTTTTGAAAACGAATTTTATAAGCAATATATATTAAATATTATAAATACCTGAAAATAAGCAACCTTATAATAAAAAAAAGTTGCTTAATTTCAAAGGAATACAGTATATCTAATATATATAATATATAGAGGCTAATTAATAAAAAGAAGAAATTTAA